TGATGGAAAGAGATGCCAGTCTGGCTCGTTAACCCGTAAGATCACTTAGAGACATCAATGTACATTTTCCACCATAACATTTACCAAACCCAACACGGCCTATCATTATTAGGGGTCTCCTGTACCCACTTCTGTCACCCCCTAATATGAGCAGGGGAGGAAAAAAAGACTTTTTTTTTTTTCAATATAGTAATCTGAAAATGTGCTTCTGCAACTTTACTCCACAGGTAAAACAAGGGGCATGTTGCATGTCACTTAAGTTGCATAAAACCCCAACATACTGGTTTTAAACTGCCTCTCCTGCGAATGTCTAAACCTAAACTGCCCTCCAGGAATAGGAACTTGGTTGCTTTGTCATGGTGGAAAAAATCCCATTGAGTCAAGAAAGCTACTAATACAATCACCAAGTCAAAAAAAAAATCAGGATCTTATTCCCTTCAAGCTTTCGGTATAGCATTGTGTTTACATCAATCATAACATTAGTCTTTCCAAACAGGACATATTTGTAGGCATGCATAAGTTTTTCTCTTGTAGAGAGAAGACCTAAAGGTCTTACGGACATAAGAACACTGCAAATGAACATGAAGTATGTCATGTCAGCTAGTAGTGTCATAATACTGAAAAAAGTTTACAATGCCATACTTCGTAGTGAAAACAGAAAAAACTCAAAAGTGTTTCGGGTATCTCAGTCCAGTTTGCCTGAACATTTGGTTTTATTTACAGATTTTTCTAGCAAGGACAGCTTAATATTTCCATGGGCAGGCAGCAAAACCAAAAGCTAACAAAAGCAAGCAGTCACCACATTGTACACACTTACTATCTCTGTTTCAATTAGAATGCTTGTCCAACAGGCAGGATGAATCCTTCCCCCAGGCAGATTCTCAATTATTTCTCAAACCTGTCTGATGCTAAATTGAGGTAGATGATTTACTTCTGCAAAATGAGGTAGAACTTCAAGAAGATAGTGGCATCTCTAGTTGTGCATTTTGTACCACAGCAAACTGGGTTTCAAACTCCCGAGGACTCAAAGACCAAAGGTACAATATTTGTCTAACGCAAGTACCAGTGTTCATTTTTTATACAGCTCCAAACTGTTTGTCTAAATATCTCTACTTTTAAATACCCTATTACCTTTTGGCACCATTTGGCTTACACTCCTTTAAAAAAATAAACAAAACACTTTGGCACAATTTTTTTTTTTTTTTTTAAAAACCAGAACTGAACAAAGAAATCTTATGATCAAAGTTATGGCAAGATAAGCCTGCTCTCTTCAGAAAGTAATTTTGGTTTAACTGTAACATAACAGACTGGGCCCATTTTCTTGCAATTCCAAGGGAATGCCACATCCAAGTGCCTTGTTCTTTCTCTCAACTTGGTTATGTCTGGCCCCAATATGCACTAGTTTTCAGGTGTTGTCATCCTTCCCTTGCTTTCTTTACAAGTGTAAGGTTTATGGGCTTCCTTAAATAAGTTATATGTAAAAGGTACTAAATAAAAAGGAGTGAATTATCTGAAGGACCTGCATTATCAAGTACTGAGTCTGCTTCAGTTTGCTACTGAAGTTCCTGCTTAAATAGTTCTGAGAAAGGACAAGATTGCTTCATAGGCTGAACCCAAACCAGCCATACTGACTGCCGATAATATTTGTCAAGCAAAAAGTTTACTGAGAGCCACTGGTGTAACCTGGCATAGCAAAATTCCTTTGGGAGTTCTAGTAGACAGGTCTGTCACCCACATCTGTTGTTCCCCAATGTCAGAGCTAAGAGAAAGAGGCACAAGCTCACCTCACCCTTCTCCAGGCTGTTTCTACTAGTTCAGAAGATCACTCTGAATGCTTGTTCAGTTTGCAATCCACCTTCAAAGCCCTGCTTTTTCTCTCTGCACGGTGTGTATTATGATACTGGGGCATTAACCTGAGAATATGCATAGCCTGAGAACATGCATGGAAAAAAGAGAGGAAGGTTTGAATCTCATTTAAGTATTACTTTTCAAAAGCCCCTATGGGGCATCTGATGTTGGCCTTGTATATTATCACGACTTATTTTCATTGCATATAAAACACTCCATTTTATAAGCTACACTACCACTTTTCAATGAGACCAAGTGTGCTTAGCACTATCTATGACAAAGATAAGGAATTATTTTGGGTAGCTAAACAGTAGTGTTTTTAAAACGAAAAAGCTCCCCAACAGGTGAGGTCAAACATTTGAGGTCTGGTTTGTAAGCAAATCCCACTGAATTAGACAGCATGAAAGAGTTAAAGTCGTTCCTCTTCCTGACAGAGCTGGACTGGGGGTTTGTGCAACGGCTCCATACAAAATAGCAAAGGGCAACTTCAGTGTCTGTCACCTTCTACAGGGCGCAGGCTGGAGAGGGGCAAAAAGGTTTCTGCAGTTCAACACAATCCTGAATGCACACTTAACTTTTTTTTTAATGCCTGGAAAACAACTCCCTTCTAGTCCTAGAGAAGGGCTAGGAAGAAAACCCAACAAGCATTAAAGCACAAGAGCATTTCTAGCATACTCCAACACCATCAGCCACTCTGGTCAAGATATTAAGAGACCTGGCATTTTTAAGACATGGTAGGATAAATGCAAGGACACTGCAAACTAAACATTAAAGCTTTTTAAACCAGTTTTCTTTGGTATCTAGATCTTGCAGGCTATTAGTTTTCACAGCCCAAGTTGCAAATAATTCCTGGACTGAATAACACAAGACACATGGACATCTGTTGCAACTGTAAGGCCACCCCCAAGAAGGGAGGCGTGTATGCAAGCAGAACTTGAAAAAGTTGAAGGTAAACTATCTTTCTCTCATACCCATATTTTGAGTGGCCACACAAATTTAATGACAGACATCTGTATAAAAGATTATCCTTTAAAGACTATTTTTAAACCATGCTATCCTAAGATTAAGCCTAACTGAAACACACTGCTTTGAAGAGTTTGCTTCCTTGAGGCTTTGGCTGAAAGGCAGCACAGTTATTTAATCTTATTTAATGTAGGTGTTTTTCCTCACCCTTCTTTCAAAAGCGGTTTTGCCATCTCATGAACCTGTCTGTCTCTTTCTAGTCCTTTAGTTTAAGCCTCCTCTAAGTGGCAGCCATCTGTCTGCACACATCATCAGGATTTCTACAAAACCCAGAAAGTTAATGCTCCTTGGAGGGGAAAAGCAGCAAGAAGGAAAGTGCACCTTGTGATTTCTCACAAACTTGTAGAGAGCCTCTCAATCTCAGGTCACTTTTGTGCATGGTGGCTGACAGGGAGATGAACCCTTTCCTTGGAGGATGGTTAAGGCTCTTCAGACTTTTTGGTAATAACCACGTTTATGTTTCAGGGATCTTCTCTTGCAAACAGTAAGGTAAATCCCATGGCATTTCCAAGCCCAAGAATATGATATCTGAATTTTTCCATCACAGAGACAGAAAAGCCCTCTGCTCCCTACTTTAACCATTCTTCTTTGCCACCAAAGGCCTTATCCAAAGGGTGAAGCAACAGCTCTGTAGAGACCATATCTGCATTAACAGCTAAACTGGAATGCAAGAAAAGAATAAAATGAAATGCTTCCAGGGAATCAAAGTCACATTTTGCTAGAGAGATCTCTTTTCTCCCCAAAAGCTTCCACTTCTCAGAAAAGCTTTTTTTTTTTTTTAATCCCCAAAAGGGCTAACTTCCCCCTGCCTCCAAGCTTTTAAGGATCATATAAATTTATTTTACACAGAATTCTTTGGTACTGCCATGGAAAAAAGCAGCAAAGTTTCATCTTGATGCAGCTTGCCTTACACTGGTATTTGTAACCTTTCACTTGGATCTGTAGCAGGAGATAGAGCCACAGGCCCACCCCACCCTAAAAACTACGGTAAACCTTCCCAAATTTTTCAGTCCAGCTCTTTAGGGAAGCCAGAAGATGAAAAAAAAATTTTGTCACCGATAGGGTTATTGCAATCCTCTTTAAACACAAAAGACTGTCGACTTCTCCAAAACGCACCCTGAATCTCCAAAGCTGTGCTTATTTCTTAGTTTTGGAAAAAGGTACCACTTCTGTTCTAACAAAGCCATCAAACGCTATTCCCTTAAAGTCTCCCTCTATGGGGAGGGGCAAAAAAAAAAAAAGCAGTAATTTCACAAGAAAGTAAATCAAAAGGGTTTGATTTTCCCTGTTTCAATGCTCCTTGTAACCTCTTCTGTTTTCCAGATTAGGTACACTGATAAAAAAAACAGTAACTTTTTTAAAACTAATTTAGCTTTCAGGTGAAAGGTAAAAAGAAATACTCAATGACAGGATACATTAAAGGAAGTCTTGCTTTTTATCTAAGCTTTACAACAACCGCACTAAGCCACTAAAATGAACAATTTGGTTTAAACTTAAAGAATTTTTGTGCATTTTCATCAGCTTCAATTTGTGCTGTTGGATTACTGTGTTTCAGAAAAAATACACAGAAATGCCAAAAAGATGCAAACTTGCTCTTCCCGGCAAGTGAATCCCACTCACTTTCGCAAAACGTTCAAAGTCGTCTGGGAACAAGACACTGTGCTCACCAGTAAATCAAACACATTGAGGTATAAAAAGGAGAACAGGAAAAAGTTCTCTGCTGCAGCAGCAATTCAAAAAACAAAAGTCCCCCCTCCCATGTCCCCACCCACAGAACTGCAGTATGGTCAAGAACACAAATTCTCTACAAACACCTACTACCATTTTCTCCATTAAAAAAGTTATAGAGCCTTTTTTTGGCTTAGTCTACAGAACTCACCACACAAACCACCTAATGTGCACAGCAACACTTGTTTGTGCATGAAACCCCATCGGGGGGAAGAGGTAAAACGTTCTGAACTGTGAGTGTGTGGGGACAGGGAAGGGGCGAGAAACCGGGGAGGGAAGGGAGGACAATGAGGTAGATAGAATTTAACTTTACAGGCTCACTCCCTGCAGAAAAGATAAGTACATTCATCTGTAAAAAAATTAAAGATGAGGTAGGTTTGAATTAACGTTGTATTTTTTCATTTTCTCTTAGAAGAATTTCCCTGAGACAGTTTCTTCCTAATTCAAACACAGATTAGAAGACGAGAATTCGATTGTTTCCAAAGTCGACCACAACAATCATGCCATCAGGGGTGACGGCTATACCTGAAGGACGGTCCATCTGACCAAAGCCGCTTCCCTGAGTGCCAAACTTGCATAAAAAGCTACCATTTGACTCGAATATCTGCACCCGGTGGTTCCTGGAATCGGCCACAATGATGCGCCCCTCTTGATCCACCGCCACTCCCTGCGGGCGCAGGAACTGGCCGTTCCCGGTGCCCTCAGAGCCCAGAAAGCGTGCTGACTGGCAATCTGGATGGATGACCAGTAGGCGATGGTTGTTGAAGTCTGTCACTACCAAGTGGCCCTCGTGATTGAAAGTCACACCTCTGGGGGAATCAAAGTGCTTCCAGAGTGCCCCTTCGAAGCCATACTTGTTAAGAAACACACCATCGGGCCCAAACAGCTGAACACGATGGTTCCTTGTGTCAGAGACCAGGATCTTGCCCTCTGCGTTGACAGCCACATCCCATGGGTAATTGAATTGCCCGTTCTTTGTTCCTTTCTCCCCAAACTTCAGAATGAACTGCCCCTCAAATGTGAAGATCTGGATGCGATGATTGTCCTTGTCAGCCACAACGATCCTACGCGAGATGTCACAGGCCACGCCGGCAGGACGATCAAACTGGCCCGGCCGGGAGCCCAGCGTGCCAAACTTGTGATGGAAGGTGCCGCACGGTTTGAACACCTGGATGCGGTTATTACTGCGGTCAGCAACAATGATGTAGCCTTCTTTGTCAACACTAACCCCCCAGGGGCGGCAGAGCTTGCCGTCGCTGTCTCCCTCGCTGCCAAAGGAGAGCCCAGGCAGCCCAATGCCTATGTAGCTGCGCCCAGATTTCACCACAACTTTGAAGGGGCTGTTTTCAATGTGTTGGTTGCACATCATCACGGATACCAGGTGCTCTCCCTCTAGCTGTGGACGGTAGCTGACCAGGTAGGTCCCATTCTGCTGATCACTGACGTCTGCCCCGAAAAGGTTTCCATCCGGGCCCATCACCACTGCAGAGATCATGTCACCGCCTGAAAGGCGAGGCTCACCATCGTGGTCATAGCCTATCACTGTGAAAGAGGCCACTTTGCCCTGCAGTGCACGCTTGAGGCCTTCCCCGGTGGCTTTGGTCAGAGGAGCAAAAGCACCACTGCTGACAAAGCCCATTGATTTAATGGCCATATACAATGCCTGGTCTGGGGGAGTGAACATGATCCTGTCATCTTCCTGTGGCTGGAGAAGGCCTCTCACATTCTTCAGCTCCTGCACCTGAGCCAGCATGCGGTCCCGAGCCAGAAGAATATCCATGGTACGACCCTCCTCCAGGACCTGCTGCACAGAGACCGGCTGAACAGCACTAATTGTGTTGTCCAGCTTATTTAGGTTCTGACGTAACTTTTCGACTTGCAAGTAGAGTGACTTAGCCTTGACTTGACGAATCTTTTCCACCTTGGAGGGGACGGGGAGGGGGGAGAGAAAAGCACACTTACATCAGGAAAGACAACCCATAACACAAACATTTCCCAGTGTCACTCTTCCACATAAAAACTGGTTGTGCAGTTGTTGCAGCATGTTGACACAGAACTGCAGAACAAGCCTCTAAAAGCCATGAAGTAGAGAAGCAGAAATGAGGAAAAGTAATTATTTATTCAAATTCAGGATTATTATTCTCTCCTATCCTCCAGCCAAAATCATACATGCTTACTCTGCAGATCTGCTGCATCAGAGTGCCATTTGAAAGGAAGAGTCACTTGCTTACCAATAATGATTTGCATCCTCAAATGTTACTCTGTTTTCTAGTCACAAGGTACTTGGCAGATCATCCGAAGGTACGCCTTATTTAGACTCCAGGGAGGACAGACGTTACTGCAGGCTCTCAAGAAAGAGCAGAGGCTGAGGCTTTTCTAACCAGAACTGAGACCAATTTCAGAAGCTAAGCTGTTATCACACAAAGCTGAGGCTAGGAGTCAGCGTCAGCTAATGCACATGGGCTCTTGCCATTCTCCTGCCTGCCAGAACTGTTTTCATGTGACTGGATAATACCAGACATCTATCCCCAGGGATTTTTAGGATCCAATTATTTTAATATTTTCTTGCAAATACTGGCAGTCATGCTGAGCTACTGCTTTACAACTGGATGCTTTATAATGTCACTTCAAATGACACAGAAGGTTGCTGCCAGTCCCTGCTTGGGGGACTGAAGCTCAAGCAAAAATGGTTTGTTTGTAACTACTTTATATAAGCCTGTGTTTATCTTTACTTGTGAAAGATCACTTTAGACCATCTGCCAAAGACACCTGTCTTAATGAAACATGAAATTGCTTTATTGTTGCAAAAATACATTTCCTTATGTCTTGATACCTGCTTGGCTGCAGAACAATACCAGCAATGTATTTTAATGAGGGACAATTCACTGTCTGAAGACTCCTTGGTTATACACCGACTAGATAACAGATGTACAGATATGCTATATTTCATCTAAAGTTAAGGCATGCAGCTTTTACCAGACTGTTAAAAAAGTCATAGATGCTTCCTCCAATAACTTTACAAAAGAGATTACTAATCTGAGATCCCTGCTTAATCCTTGGCCTCAGGTTTGGTACCCAAAATTATTCACTAACACACTTCACATGAGGGCTTAATACACTCAGCTTTTTTTGCTAGAATGATTTACCACCACCACCAAGTTTCCTTCTTAAAGTAATGCTTTATAACCTGAAGAGAACTTGCTCTCAGTGCAGACATTCCAATAAAGTGCATTTATGCAGCCTCTTGGGATACAAATGTCTTAGGGGCAGCTCTTACTTCTCCTGTACTAGGAATACCTCAAAAAAATAGGCTGCCAAGCTTCTTCGGGAAGGCTAACAGTGGAAAGCGAACTCATCTCCCTCAATCCAAATACCTCAGGAAAAGCAGCATTAGAAGTACAGTAACTATATGAAGTGCATTTTTAATCTTGCCACTGACACCTATAAAAGAACTACAGAAACCCCAAACTTCTCTTTTAGGGGAATAGTCTTACTGTAGCTAGAGTCATTCCATACAACAAACTCTTACCAGAGCGGTCATTTTGCTGGCAACAAGTATTAAATCAGAAAATTACTGTTCCAATCAGTGTTGATGGAGAAGAAGCAGGGGAGAAGTACTTTAGCAGTCTGACACTACTTCTTGGCAGCATGTGCATTGCCAGCCACATGTATGTGCCATCCTGCCTGGCTCAGCTAGTATAGGCAGCAGCCACACAGCACCTGGCTTCCTGCCACACTGTCTGGTGTGACTGCATATTATAGGACCATTCTCAATTTACTCCTAATCTCTTCCCATCTTGACCACACATTTTGCTCCCCTATACCAATACTAGCAATCATGTGGTCATAGGACAAGTCAGTTTGACTCACTGATCTAAAAAGACCTAATCCAACAGCAGAGAGTGGGTTTCTGCTCAATTCCACAAGTAGGACCCAAAGGGCCAATCCAAACTAATTTGTGCTAAACAAGCAGAGGAGAGCCATGACCACTAAATTACCTTTCCAGAATAAGAAACTTTGCTGTTACTTCCTTTCCTCCTCTCAAAATACCACACATGCATCGTGGCTGAAGTGAGTGCGGGAGTTTGGGATTGTGCAGATACTCTTGCTGGAGAGTATTCTTTTCTTCTACTAGTAAAAAAAAAAGATCAGAGGGACACTACCTTGATTGAGGGTAAAATAAGTTTTTAGGTGTGGGGACAATGAAAGTTAGTCTTGCAGAATTTCTACTAGTCTTTCTAAAAAAGGGCACTGCACATACAGCTTTGCTCCTTTCCTTATGAGAAGTGGCTCATGTAAGGAAACCCATATACTAGATACCTACTACAGCAACGTATTAAAGAGGTTTTAAAGACATTCTTTAAACAAGGTGTTTAAAGGTGATCTCTCTTTTCCTGTCAATACCAAGATGTGAGGCACAGCTGCTGACCCAGCAGGGGGAGTGCCCACCCTATTTGTGGGGCTGAGCTTGTGCAAGGATACCACAGTCCCTACAAAAACCCAACCAGTTTCGCAGATTAAGAGATACCTTCAGCAGAAAACCAAATCTGGGCCAAAATCCAGCATCCTGCTACCTACAGAAAAGTGAGTTCACAGTACACTGTAGTGTTTCAATTCAGTGTTCCTTGGGAGGGTATCAGAATCTGGCCATGTACTAGTTAAAAAGCATGTTTTCTGTTTGGAAAGGCACTTGTCAGCAGTTCAAACCACAAATTTAAGGTGCATACCTTCCAAAGCAGCTCACACTCCCGCTCTTCCAAGGCCTTCTTATGTCTAGTAGTCACTGCTTTGACTTCAGACTGTACCACCTTCGCTTTCATCTCAACCTGCTCTGCCACAGCCTGGGCCTGTTCAATACTCAGCTGGAGAGAAAAAGAGACAAAATGCACTTAGGGTTCAACCAAACCAATTAGAAATGCATCAGAGAATTGCTGCTTACATTTCACTATGCCTTCGTGTGAAGGCATAAAGTGCCAACTCTTGGTTTTTCACCAGGCCTTTGCCCATTTCATACATCAGAGACTGAAAACTGACATAATTTTTTAAAATACATCTATTACATGGAGTTTATGCCTTCATTGTACCAAGCACCAACACCACAGGACTAAATTCCCTGTGCAATTCCGGCAAGCAGCTAGAGTGAACTCAAACAAGAGACTCACACCGAAAGTCATGCTCGTGTTTTCCGACATATAGAGAACCCAGTTTGTCTTGTCCCTCAAAATGGTTCAGACTGTTATGGTGTGATGGTTCTGCCTCTCATAAGAAATGACACTAGGGAACAGGCTGTTTTATCTGTGCATCTGAGCTGCACAGAAATACCCCTAACAGAATGTGAAGTTAATTAATTTTAAAAGAAAGAACAAAGATTAGATGGTTATTATTAGAAAACATTCATATAGTTATTCACACCTTGGAGAGACACCAAATTCTTTCCCATATAACCTTGTAATACTAGTATTTTAAAAACATTCTGGAGTAGTATTCTGCAAATACACAGAATGCATCTGGAAGGAACATGTCTTTTTTTCCCCTCAAAGAAAGAACTGTTTTCTTGAAAAGAAGTCCTTCCCAAACTGCTCCCAGTTTCACAAAATATTACAGAAAAGGGTATAAAACCAAACAAGATAGAGAGCAGGCAAATCTGAAGGATCACAGTTCCCAATGGAAAAGGTTCAATAACATCTGTTAACTGAATCTTTTCAACACGTTTGTCATACAGTGAACCAGCATTAACATGCAGATGAGGTTGTGAGCCTCTAAGAGGTTAAAAAGATACTAGTTTATTAGCTACAAAATTCTAGAACAAAATGATGGTATGTGAAGGTATTTAGCCTAGAAAAGAGAAAGCTCAGGGGGGTATCTTACCAATGTATACAAATACCTGAAGGGAGGGTGCTAAGAGGACAGAGCCAGGCTTTTTCCAGGGGCGCCCAGAGGCAACAGGCATAAACTGAAACACAGGAGGTTCCCCCTGAACATCAGGAAACACTTTTTTTCACTGTGAGGGTGGCCGAGCACTGGCACAGGTTGCCCAGAGAGGTTATGGAGGTTCCATCTTTGGAGATATTCAAAAGCCATCTGGACATGGTCCTGGGCAACTGGCTCTAGGTGGCCCTGCTTGAGGAGGGGGGTTGCACAAGATGACCTCCAGAGGTCCCTTGCAACTTCAACCATCCTGTGATTCTGTGACTGTACCACCACACGTTTACTTTTTTCTCTTTTCATATGCTTGGCACACCACAGTATTTTATTACTCGAATTTTAATATTAAGCAACATACGTAAGACATCTAAACCCCTACCAACATACTACATGTGACTGTAGCAGCTCAACAAGTTGTTGACAGCTGAGAATGTAACTCAAACTCACCTTTGTTTTCCATGGTACATACCAAAAGCCATGGAAATAGCCATGGGTATTTGTATTTAAATACAACATTTTAGATAGACTTTACAACACCTTCCCCTCACTCTGGTCTTAGTAACTGGTCCGTTTCAGAACTTGAGCTGTTTCAGACTAGGTAGCCAGGGAACGCTCTGGCAGAAAACATCTTTAATCTTGAGAAATGCATGCTTGATAAAATGGGCAAAAATGTTATTTAAAGACTTTATTGTACATTCAGGGCCTTATGGAAAATATCCTTGGTTTAATTGTCTATATGAGTATGTACCAATCTAAGAACCACCTGATGCAACAATCTATGAACTACGCAATGCGATCCAGCTTTGTCTAGAAAGTCAGACAGGGCTTTTTGTTATCTTTCTTCACAGATTTAGTTCTTAGCATTTTCAAAGTCTGGTCTGGCAAGTTCAACAGCACCTATGCCAACAACAGGAATGCTAAAACATAAAAACAGAAGTGTACTGTTACTTGGACATTTTCATCCCGGGTAGTTATTTTAAGACAACTAGTTTGAATTAGATGTATTCTTCCAGGTCACGTAGGAGTAGAGAACTAAAAGGAAAAGGAAAACTAACTTGGCCAAGTGATTAATCTCTGGAGACATGAAGACAACCCTGAGTAGGTAAGACAAGGCAATGTTTCTGATCTTTATTCCCAAGTAGTCTCTTGCAAACTGGCAGAGTAGAATAGGAGTGCTACTTGACAGCCCCCCTGCAACACAGAGCATGCCTTTCAGCTGTTCCTCTTTCACGCAACTCCCAGGTCAGAGTCACCTTCCCTACATTTTTAACAGGGAATGTCCTCAAACTCATGGACAGCCTAAATATCCCCATCCCACTGGAGGCAGTCCTGACCTGACTTCACACAAAGCTTCTGTGTGACAAGTTTGACACAACACTTCAAGTTGACAGAAAGTGAAAAACTCATGACAATCAGCAAAGCAGACATGAAGTTACAACTGGCTACAGATTACGGCTTCATGAAAGCCAGTAAGTCTCAGTCCTAGCTGTCAGAGTCCACATGTAAGAATACTGTGCCTCTATCATCTCTACTTTGCCTTTCAAATACAGAACCAGCTTCTACTGTAGGGAACAAAACAGACCTGAATTCTTGAAAACCTATTTCTCTTTGCAAGAGGTGTGTATCTCCTTGAGGAGCATTAGGGAAGCTATGCTATCCACTTATATTCCAATTCTAGCAAGCATGTCTGTGAAAGCAGGAAAGTCTTGGTTTACTTGCTTGAGCTTTTTGTACAGCAGTACCCATTAGGACAGTGATCTGTGTTTCCTCATACCGTACAGCTAAGAGCAATCTCAACTTCCCTCACAATTCTTCACCAAAACCAGAGTCCACCATTCAAGAACTCCAACATAGCAGGAGAGGTATTAATTCCCTGCAGATGCTGTGATCTTTTATCCGTAGGAACCAGTTATGGTAGGGCAAGTAACTGTACTCAATAGCACAAGGTTGTCTACCAACAACTCATGTCATCATCTAGATTTATTTTTACTTGCCTGAGTCTGAACAGCTCACATTAGTGAAGGATGCCCAAAACACTAAGGCTCTAATACTGTCCAGGATATTAGCAGTTTTGGTCAAATTCACATGATCCTGCACTCTGCCAAAGCAGGCTAGAACAGCCTAGGAAGGCTGATCAACATCAAGCACACAGCAGCAGGCAGTGGTATGGTGGGGAGGGAACAGCAATAGGCAAGTTATCTATCTGAAGCAAAAGCCAAGAGCTTTAAGTACAACTTTTGGGAGCCTTCTTTACATGGAAATCCCTTGTTCTCTTTGATTACTGTAAGATATCACAGCTCTGCCATGATAACTCTCTCCTGCTGTTCTGCAGGCATTTCCTGTGCAGAACTTGTCTTCAGAGAGGTCAACTTTTTAGGAAACATGTTAAGCAGCAGCATTTCTTGTTCTGGTCAGGCACCACACAATCTTTTTAACAACAAATCCTTTTAAAGAAAAGCAGCTTTTATGATGCACTCTCCTCACAGTATGTCATAATTATTCCAGTGCTAGTGAATGAGATGGTCAGCCAGTTCACATGCTTGGAAAACAGAAGACAAGGCCTGTGTAGAGCAGAGAATCACATTGGGTTACTGAATTTGAGATGGATAACGACTGTTTTGTTTCCTGCTGTTGGCTGATACAGTAAATCGCCTATTTGCGGCTGTACCTATTCACTCGTGACTTCCCAGGGGCCTAAAGATGGCCAATACACTCCCCATTCTATTAGAGATGTCACCAGTGCCTTGTGTTTAAAGAAAAAAACCCACAAAACACCAAAACAAAACAAACAAAAAAAGACTTTGCAATGTGTCTTGTCAACTTTAGGGTTGAAACTGGTACTTCAAATTCCTCAGAGTGAAATTTAAGTAATGACAGTGTTTGTGCAGGTAATATGTTCCAGAGGGCCACAAAAAAAGGAAACCTTGCAAACAGAGCTTCCGGTGGGGCAGACAAGCATGTTTTCATGAAGGAAAGCAATGCAGACATCCATCGCTAGCTATTGCTACCAGCACATTTCAGAATTTCTTACTCTTCTCGATAAACCTACCCAAATAGCAACAAGCAACATTCAAAACACACACTTTAGCACAAGAGGACAATGGCATGCAGTAATGCCTGTACTTTCAGACTTGAAACATTAAATGTGCAGGTCTCAAGTTTTTATTCTCTGGACATTTTGTACAAACCAAAAAGGCTACTTGTTATCACCTCAAGGTAACTATTCCTAAAATTCATACAGCATCTTCCATCTTACTAGACCTAGCTCTGCACAAACACACCTTTACATAAAGTGTCACTGGCACCCAGTGCCTACATACAACATGTTAAACCAAACACTCCTTTCCAGGATAAGACATCAGACCAGGGCATGCCTGGCCAGTTCCTACATGCTCCAGCCAGTTTTGAGTAAAAGGCAAAGAGCAAAGTCATGCTGGACCCCAGGCGTCCTTTGCGAGCCCCCTTTAGGTGGGCACTTCTGTGAGCTCCCCTTTAGCTACATTTAACCACCTGGGGGGAAAAAAAAACCCACCACCAAAACAAAACACCTAGTGATGAGCTTGCTACAGTGGCTCTGACATGGCAACTGATGCTACAAACACAAAGCTATGAAGAAACCAACTGCAAGAGCCAGAAGTAGCAAAGTAATATCATAGAACTTGGCTGCACTTCCGGATATCTGGGTTAACTACAGAGGGGCCCAAATCAGGATTTGCCATTTTGTAGACTGGCACTTCTCAGCCACTTTTTACAAGTCCTGTCTTCTAGTGGACATTAAGAACTGGAGCCTCAAGTTAACAAAAAGCTTTCCCCAATTTAATCTTTACTTAAATATTCCTATGGAATATTTAAATGTAACGTTCTAGAAATAGCACTACTCCAAGTTTTCACTAGTGTTGCTTTTTTAAATGAAAGATTATGATCAGAAGCATACAAC